GTTTTTTCATTATATGTTCCATCTCTATTGTTTTGTGGTTAGAAAATTTAACTTTCATATTTAACTTAACAAAGCCTAAAGATAGACATCTGTATTTTCTTCAATAAAAACCCCAGCACACTAATTCTAGTAACTTTCCTTCTTATTCATATTATTTTCATCCAGCATCTTCTTTCTATCTTGTTTCTTTTCAAATACCACATTATGATTGCTTTTTTACTTACTGTGTTCGTTTCAAATGATTCCTACTTTCTTTGCTCTTAATTTATGTCCAGTTGCCAGGTTGGGGTAAGCCTAGTAGGATAATGAGCTTAAATGAATGTGCTAATTAAGTCTTAATCACTTATTGGGATATCGTGAACAAGAGGCAACTAACTCCCTAATGTTGCATTATCCCCCAGTTAGGTGAGTCAGAACAGATAGACTCCTCACTGCAGAGGAGTCCTGAACAAAAGACTTCTGACATTTCATAGACACCAAAACTAGGGGAGAAGGAGGTGGAAAGGCTAAAAGTGGAAAGTACTATGGATGAAAAAAGTTAAGAGTAGATATAAGTACCTTGTTCATAAGTTAAGGAAGCCTCCAATGGTGGTGTTTGAACCAGGAATATAGATAATGTTATAGGTAGATATTATAAGCAGGGAATTCCAATATGCCAACAAAAGGGACATATGACACATCAATTACTGTTACCAATGCCCACAGCTAGAAACCCTGGTGCCAAGAGGGTGGTTATCTCACCTAGATGCTTGGTCAACATCTTAGTTCACACTGGGATAGGCCATCCCCACATGGATGCTCATACCTTCAAAGTCTACACTGGGCATAGTAATTGGGTAATGATTCCTTACGTGAAGAAGTATGCAAGCACAGATGGAAGCCTGCGATTTTGAATAAAGGAACCAGATACAACGGTACTCTCCTAAAAAGTCATGACAAGACCCTAGGATAAAATTAACACCTAACTTGGTTCCCAATTGTAGTTGTCTTTCTCTGGCAGCTGCCCACTCACATGTCTTTCTGGCATGGAGGTGTATTCTTTTCTGTTAAAAAGTTTGATTTTCCTATTAAAAATTTATCTTTTCCTCCTCATATTTGTGACTTTTTCCTGCATTTTAGGGTGGGTCTCTAATCTTAGAGATCAGTTGCAAAGAACCCAGTATTTTAAACAATGCAGCTCAGCTCCCCGGTCTGATGGACAGTATGAATTGAACATGGCCTGCCCAGAGGTCCTGAGTTGTGTTTATTATTTTTTTGGAATTGCTAGGATTATGTGTGCATGTGTGTGAGACAGAAAGAGAGAGAGAATAGGAGAGAAAGCACACACACACAAACACCCTCAGTGGGGTGTGGTTACACTGCAATAGTTTTTTCTCCATTTCTCCATTCCATAGGGGTTTTGAGCACTCATGAAAAAGAGCCAGCAGGATTTTCAAGTCTCTGGGGTTGGGATTCCAACTGCAGCTGGCCATGTTGGATCTAGCACCCTACGCATGAGACTTTACCACTGTGCTACTGAGCCAGCTCATGGGGCCTGAGTTCTTAACTAGGTCCTTCCAGAAAACTAATAGAATATACTGGCTATGCACAAAGTCAGCTGTGGGGAGGGCAGCTTTCTCTCACCAGCCCTTCCAGGCAAAGCCTTTGGAGTGCTTCTAGTCAGGCCTGAAAGATCACACGTGTTTTGGCCTAGCACCAATCTCTTCACTTAACCTTCACTCCAGAATAATTTTCTTTGCTTGTAATATACCTTTTCATATTTCTTTTAGTGAAGCTCTGCTGGTGGTAAACTCTCTCAGCTTTAAGGATCTGAAAAGATCCTCATTTTTGAAAGATATTTTTGCTGAGCACCAACCAAATTTTTATGTTGATAATCATCCCTTAGCATGTTGAAAATATGATTTTATTATTTTCTAGTTTGTGGTGTTGCTACTATTAAGAAGTTCCCTGGAAATTGAATTGTTGCCCCTTTTAAGATCATCTATCACTGTTACTTCAAAGGTATTTCTTTTGTCTTTTATGGTCTCTAGTTTCTCTGTAATATTTCTTCTTGTTTATGTTTGGGATTCACTATGTTCTTGATTCTGTGTTTTGGTGTATTTCACTATTTCTGGACATTTTTTATTTATTATTTCTTCAGATAATTCTTGTTTTAGGAACAATGATTAAATTAGATAATAAAACTCATATTTCTTAATGTCCCATCCACATTTTCCACATTTTGCTGTGCAAATTCTCATTACTTTCTTTACTATTACAGTATTTTCAGTTTATAATTTCTAATGTTAAATTGGTTACCTAATTTAAAAATTTCACTTATTAAAGTTTATAATTCTTGAAAAATATTTTTTCTTTTTTATCTTTCACATATTTATTAAAAATTTGCTTTACCAGGATCATTACCTTTGAAGAACTTAAAAAAAAAAAACTTGTCAGGAAGTCTGACTTTTAAAGACTTGTCTTTGGTAATATTATTTATTTATTTATTTTATATTCATTCACTGGATATCATTACAGCATACAAAATGAATTTTTCTATCCAGAACAGACTGAATATTGTCTCAATCAAAGATATTATCTTACCTATTATCATCAACAGTTGATTTTCCATTTTGTGTTTGCTCACTGTTCTACTTCTTTCTTTTCCCCCCTTGATTCTCCCTTTTTTCCACTAGTCCAAGTGTGTGTGTTGGGGTGAGGATTTCTCCAACCCTCACAATATTCAGATGTTTGGTTACTATGCACCTAGACCTGTCTAGACTCTCAGTCAGTGGAGGCTGAGCAGCAAAATGAGAAACTAAGGTGGAAGAAAAAGAGAAAATAGAATAGAAAAAAAGAAAAGGAAATAATAAAAAAAGAAAGGCATGTATGGTGAGTGGAGTAGGGAATGGAGATGGCTGCTTAAGAGGTCTGCAGTTCCCTTGTCCTTTCCAGCTGAGGAACTGGGAGGTGAGGTTGGAAGGGAGGGGCTGTGGCTCGGGCAGTTCAGCCCTGATGCTGTTGGTCTCCAAAATGGGCAGTCTACTTGATTCTTCATATTATCTGCTTGACCATTTTTCATCGTCTCTTACTCTCTATTGTAGCCTCAGTCTCTTCTATTTCCTTAAACATAATGGCATAGTTTATAAAATTCTGAGCACAAAAATTCCAGTATCAGGGGACATTGTGGGTTAATTCCATTGTTGTCTTCTTTGGTTTGCTCCTACTCAGAATTCTATGGTTCCTATTTGTTGTGTTTGTTTTGCTTTTGACCATGGGCTCATATTTTTTGTAACTTTAGAGGAATTTCTTTAAGATCCTCTACTCAGCATTTATTCAATCATGATTCTTTTAGTTGCAGTTTTCAGAATTATTTTTAGTTTGCCATTGTGCTGAGGTATAATATTTTGGGGTTTCATTTTTGTGAGCATTCTCTAGGATCCCAGAGTATGGCAAGTTCTGGGTTTGTCTATAGGCCCTCTCTGAACCCTGAAAGACTATGACAGCGGAATTTCAGTTCATCACATTCTGCATGTTTTCTTAAAGAGAAAGCTGGTTTAATGTTCTGTGTACATATCTGGTACATATCTTCACTTAATATCTATATTAGACCACTTGATATCATCTCCTAACTCTTAGGTCATCCTGGAATTTTTTTTCTTCATCCTTTCTTCTCTTAATGTTTCAGTTTGAATGATTTTTGACTTATGTTCTATGTTCAAGTTTCCTGATTCATTGCTCAGCCTTGTTCAGTCTGCTGAGAAGCCTAACAAAGAAATTCTTCATTTCTGGCATTGTATTTCACTTTTTAGCATTTGCAATAGACTCTGTTTTGTAGTTGCCATTTGTCTGCTGAAATTCTCCTCCTGTCATCTTTCTCTGATAATTTCAACTTCTGGGTTAGCTCTTTGTCTGCTTCTCTTAATTGTTTTATCTCTTGGCAATGCGTTTTTTTTTTTCCCTTGATTTTTTTTGATATCTTTTGTAATTTTTAATTTACACACAGTATGAGGAAAAATAGTAGAAACTGTCCTCAGAGTGAATGGGGATCAATGCTTTTGCTTTGTAGAATCCTGTGAATATTATTTAACCTCTCCAAGCTTCAACTTTATTACCAGCAAATTATGATAAGCCCCAACTTTGTGAAAATGTGTGAAATACATAAAACATAAATGTAAAATTATATTATTTGTCTAGTGATAGATCCTGGTACTCATCTTTAATAAGGAGATTAGGTTATATATGCTTGCTGTTTTCCCCTAAATAGAGACATCTATTTTTGTGTTAATTTAAAAAATTCAGGGGACCAGCAGATTGAGTAATGGTTACGTCATTGGACTCCCACAAGGCTGACTGCAATTCGAGTCCCAGACACGTAGGCTTGAACCTCACACTGGTGCCCAAAATCCCAAGAGGAGAATGGAGGAGAAGGGAATGCATCGTGATCACCCTCCCTGGGGGATGGTTTCTCTCTTTCTGTGTCTCTGTCTTTCTCTGTCTGTCTGGTGAGTGTATGCACCCTATTTAGAATGCTATGGTTCCTGTTGTGCAAAAAATCTCTCTAAAAAAAAATCCATAACTTAGGGCTGGCAGATGTCATAGTGGTTACATCGCTGGACTCCTACATGCCCCACCGTGGTTTGAGTTCCAGACCTGGTGGGTTCAAAATCACATTGGGCACGTGTGCATGGGTGCCCAAGATCCCAGGAGAGGAATGGATAAGAAGGGATGAGGCATGACCATCCACCTTGGAGGGGTGAGTTCTCATTCTCTCTCTCTCTCTCTCTCTCTCTCTGGTGAGCACATGTGCCCTAAGGCAAAAACCTCTTAAAAAATCCTATCTCATTTACAATTTTTGAATAATATTAAAACATATACAAATTAGGAGGCTAAATACCTCTCTATATATTTAATTAAGATCATGCTACAATTGTGTAATTTCTCTACTCCTCCAATAAACAGCATAAAACACGCAAACTGAAGCTTATGTATTCAATTTAATGCTCATTAATGAACATATCAAAACCAGAAGTCTTCCAAAGATTTATTCATTGTTTCTTTTCAAAGTAAAAACAGTATTTTTTTAAAGATGATATAAGTAAACACTCCTACCTTCATCCCTATTGTATGCCTATTCTATGTGGCAGTGGGAATCACTCCTTATTTTAGAAACAGACAATTTGGAAAATATCAAGAAAGATGATAACATGAAAAAGGGTTGTGAAATGAAGCAGGTTAAGTTGTTACATGAAGAGGGACTTCCTGAAGTTGCAGACTCAAACTTTCTGACTAGGAAGGACAGATGCGCCATCTTCCCTGGGCAGCATTTCTTCCATGTCTGCCACCACAAAAGCGACAACAGCCCAAAGCGCGGCGGCAACATTCATCTCCTTTGGATTCATGGCAGTCATGGTGTCTCCATTGGTGTGATGGAAGGAGAAATATTTGTATAAGTCATCACATATGCTGGCTCCTAGGAGAAAAAAAGAAAAGTCTTAATGGACTTCTTTTGTTTTAAAATTCTCTTTATTCATGATAGAGGGTGTGTGCATGCACGGGAGGTAAGAGAGTATGAGAGAGAGAGAGTTTCTTTGCAGGGTCTGCTCATGCCTTCATCCCCTTTCTCCAGCCTTCCATCCTGCCATATCTTGGGTACTTGCATGAGTGCCCTGGACACCTCAGGCTGACCACCCTGGGACTCCAGCCACAGTGATCATGTAGGATCTGGTGTCTCTTCAACAGGGCCTTATCCCTGCACCCAAGGGGCTGGCCCGTTGGTGGACTTTTTTGACAGATACTACTGAATAGTTGCTCCAAAACCACTGCCATCTCTCCCCTTCACTTTTGTATATTCCTACTAATACGGGCTACAACAGAAGAATCAATACTCTCCCAGCCTCTCTTTCAGCAAGAATGGCCATTGTTGAAACCCAGAGAAAGCAGCTGTGGTTACGGTTATAGCTACTGGAAAGACGCTGTGGTTTGTAGAAGGCAGGGACTCAGTCTCCTGCTGGGCAACACCTTGGCCAAACCCAATCATGAGCCAGAGGGCAAAGGGGACTCATGAAGGCAGTCCACAACAGTTCACCTGCAGGGCACAGTCTAGGTAGAGAAAGATGAGGAATATTTTGGCATGGAAAAGATAATAGTCAGCATAGGTACTTAGGATGTGAACAGACAGATATGAGCACAGGTGTTCTGTGTGGGAATATATGAATATTCCAGCTCAGGTGAAATGGGGGTAACTACGCTAATTATTGTCAGATAAAGTTGACAACCGAGTGTGGAAAGTGCTAAATGGAAGGCTGAAAATGGGTTGGATGTAGTTCAAAAATATGGAGCCATTGGGGGTTGGAGGAACGGGCAGTGGGCAGGAAGGTAGGGTGACTCGAGCTGTTTCTTAGGAAGAGGCACCCGAAAACTGTGAGGCGAGCTCTGTGAGTGATCATGGAGGTGGCGGACAGTTAAACAACAACAGGTGTAGTCCAGTGGAGAGGTGACAATGCCCAGGTCCTGGTGATAACCTTTCAGCCTCTGAGATTCTCTGGAAGGCATGTGGACAAAGATAACCACACCTCCCAGTGGGTAGGCTAGAAGTCCATTTTAAAACCAGAAGCTTCTTCATGCGAGGAGTTCACAGTGCACCCAAGACAGCACAAATCTGAGTGTTTATTTTGGTAGTCTTGGGAAGCATTTTCACAGACCTGTGACATTTTGGAAGTAGCTGAAACTGGTGGGGAGCATATGCTCTCCAGACACCAGAGACCAGCAGGTGAGGGCGTGAAGTCAAGACAAAGTCAAGTTCAAAAAGTGGAAGTTGCCAAGGATAGTCAGAGGATGAATTAGAATTGTGGACACCAGGAAACCGGAAGGAACATTTAATTCCAGCAGACAGAGTGAGGTTTGCTTGGGGCTGTTTTCCTTCAGATCAGAGCTTCTTAAAGGCACTGAATAATAACTGATGGAAAAAAAGCCCCACACTCCGTACTGAGAAAACAGACAAGAAATATTTGTGCATGCCCTTGTCAGGCCTCCGAATTTCTCTTTCTGTCTCAGACTGAAAGAATGTGAGTGCCAGATGGGTGGGAATCTGACTGCCTCCTTTTTCAAGCTGGCGACTTGAGGAAGGCATTTCCTCAGAGATCATCTAAGTTCCCATGATCATTCTACAAAACTGCAGCAATTCCAGAAAATTTAATATCACCAGTGAGAATGCTGATACCCACAGGAGAAGTGAGGGTGGGTCCTCTGGCTGCCTTGCAGCTTTGTCTCTGCAATTTCAAGGAGACATTTTATCGGTGACAGCTACTGATCTAAAAGACCAGCACTGAGGGAGATCCTGCATTTCAATTTCTGAGAGCACCTGACACCGCAGGATGGGGGGAATGTTAACTATCCTCAGAAATAAATTGCATAGTAGCTTTTGACAGGTATATGAGCTCTGAACAGGGAACCATCAAAGGCTTTTTAGAAATAGATGGTAGAAAGAGCCTGCTCTGAAGGCCAGTATTCTCCCCTAGAAACAAACTAGAGCATTATTAGGGCAGCTCACTATTAGGAAATTATTTCTGAGGACGGTTTGGATTTGCAGATGGGAGAACATATCCTTCACCACGTCAGCTGGGGAGATGCAGGAAATGCAGCGGAGAGACCGTGGAGTTTAGAGACATATAGGCCTGGGTTCAAATGCAACTTCTTCAGCTTAATACCTGGGTGACTTCGGAAGAATCATGAATGGCCATTGACCTGCAGTTTCCTCAGTCATGAAAGGGGACTAGTGCTACCCAACTTCCCAATATGCTTGTGAGGATTAGTAAGTAAGCGATTCTTCAATATAGCTGTGATTCCACACAGAAGGTCCAATATGTCTGAACTAAATCATGACCAATTAAACACAACTTGGAAAATTAACAGATCTCATTTTATAAGTCCAGGTTCTGATGATTGGTCTTCAAAATAGAACAGCTGGACCATGAGCTCTATTTTATACGACTCTGCTTCAACGCAGGTTTGGATCATTTTCCCTCGTCCTTCCTCCCCCTCCCCATTTCCCTTTCTCTCATGAATCTTTTTGTGAACATGCTTCTCACAGAAAACATTTTCCAGCTGTGTAACTGAATGAAGACCATCCAGTGAATAGTGTAAGAGATACCCAAGGTGCCCCACACTGTTCTCGGCAGATTTCAGTCTTCACAGGGAGAGCTCAGTGAGTGTGATCTGGGCAGGATACCGGAACAGGACTGAATACCTTCTAATTCCCAAAGAGACGAGTGGGCAAATACACCAGGGTTCTCATCATCCCTCTCCTATTCCATGTTGACTCTTATTCACATGTAATCAGTAGGTTTTTCATGCACACAAATTAAGCAATCTGTGCTATGAGAAGTTTTTGAAAGACATTTGAAAGCTCTGAAAGTTGAACCTCGAGCATGTTGTTTTAGTGCGTACACCACTGCCTGCTGCAGTGTTGCATGAAGGATGCTCTCACAGGCAAGCAGCTGTGGGAAATCCATTCTTCCTTTATAAACAGATCTTGAACCGTCTGGGGTACGTAATTTAATTGCAGTGGAATGTATTACAGACATTCCCCAGATTATAATAATTATAGGGTTAGAGAGGAATGTTATGGTCTTAACATATTCCCTGCAAGAAAACTTAGTCTCCCTAGAATCCATAAAATACTAAAAATACATTTAAAATTTAATTAGAATTATTATTTTCTTCAGCAACCTTATCAAGCAGGAAAAAAATCACTAGCAAAACAATTAGAAAATCAATTCATGGACTTTGCAGACATTTAATCTTTCTTTTAAAGGAAGCAGTTTGATCTCTACTGCATTAAATCTTATTGAAAATTAAGAGTTAGAAGCAGCTAATTAATAGCTTCCTAACACATAGTTGCCAAGAAGAGAAGGCAACCCATGGAAGATGGGGGAAAAGGAAAGGAAGACAAAAGACAGGACAGGAAAGCAAAGCAAAAAGAATCCTTTATCAAAACTCTATGAAATATTCTAATTTTATTTTCTAAACTTTCAGCCTACCCAAGGATGTCTAAGTTTATGCTAAAACGTTTGAGGAATGCTATTAGGCTCATGTACCTTCCATTTCTTTGAGAAACTTGGATTGACTGCTAGGATTATTTTGATCACACAGGTTAGGTCAAAGCTAACTTACATCATGGTACCTCTAGATCCCAGAATACCTGAACTCTGAGAACATTTTTTTTTTTTTTTGAGAGCTTTTTGCTATGGGGGCATATGTGCTCACTGGAGAGACAGAGAAAGAGAGACAGAAAGTAAGAAATCACCACCCAGAGGGATGGCCATGCTGCAATCCCTTCTTCACTCTCCTCTTGGGATTTTGGGCACACTTGCACCCAGCGTGAGTTTCAAGCTACCGAATCCGGGACTTGAACTGTAGTCAGTTATGTGGGAGTCCAATGACATAACCATTATGTCATCTGCTGGTCTTAATAATGAGTCATCTTCCCATAAATTTGAAAAACTGTACAGCAGCGGTAAGACTAGCTAACCAGTACTACACAGAGATGCCACCACAGACTCTCCTTCCAGGAGAAAAAAATGATATTATAGTTACCCTTGTTGAGCACTTTTGATGTGTCTAGGGCTTTTAGAGATTATTTCATTTAATTCTCCCAGTGACCTCAGGAGGGAATGATCACGATGTGTCATTAATCGATGGAAAATAGATTTAGGTAATTTGTCTAAAGTCATACAACAGTAAGTAGCAGGGGTCTCGGATCTATAATCCATACTCTCTGGCTCAGTCACAGCAGTAAGCTGCTAAGATGCTGCTGCTTGGGGCCAAGGTCTCCTGGGAAGTCCGGGTTTGATTCTCAGTCCAGTGTAAACAGGCTGGGCTCAGTGGCACATGCCTGTAGTCCTAGCTAACTGGGATGCAGGAGCAGCAACATCATGACACAGTAAGACTCTGTCAAAAATCTTCCTCTCTCTCATTAAAAATAAAGTAAAAATAAAAATAAAGTAAAATAACATAAAATGTATGCTCTGTACTTCTCTACTATAGCTCAAGAAATCTGGCTTTTTTTTTTTCTCCTCCAGTGGAAACTATTTGCATAACTTGATCCTCTTGCTGCTCTGATTCCTCACCCTTATTTCTACTTTTTTACGAGCAGATGGAAGCTGGAGGTGGAGCTATCATGGGCCATGAAGACTTTAATACATTCATACATTGGGCCATGCAGCCTGGGACTGTTTGTCAGAAGATGAACAATGGACACCAGTCCCATTGCTCTGGCTGGGCCACACTCGTCAGTCCTGCCAATCCTCCTGCAATTTCCCGACTGTTCTACCTAAAGCAAGCCCACCCACCCTCTGGCCACTCACTTTATCCTTCCTTCTTTTTTATTTTTGCCTTTTAATAAAACTTTCTGCTACCTGAATCTACATATTACTCTTGTAATGGTTTTCCTATTTGTTGCCTGTCTTTTAC